TCCAGATGCAAGAAGGTCTGGCCTAAGGGAAAAGGATTTCCAGAATGATGGATTAGTTTTGCACTTTGTCATTTATACCAACAGAAAAGAGTTTCCAGATCCTCAGAAGTATAATAATCACCCACTTCACTGACAAATACAACGTTTCTTGTCAAGAAACGGGCACAAAAAGTAGAACATCCTGGCTCTCCATATACCGCATAAACATTGTTCAGGTCTCATATGTACAGAATCTGTAAATAGTTTTAGGCTTACAAGTTTTACAGCAACCCCAAACTTCAAGGAATCTTCATGCTACTGACTCTTGAAATATTAGTGATTTCTTCTAATCTTCGACATCTGGAGAATGAGGAAAGGTAAACGAACTATTCCAAAATTCCAGAGATTCGTAAGAAAGTTCATTCTGCTCAGTGAATACTCCTTAAAACTAATAAGTTCATTGTACCTTTCCATTTCTCCTGCTATCAGCTCTGCTTACACTTTGTGCCATATTTGAAATTACATCATCAGTTTCATTAAATTTCCACTCTGTTCGACAGCTTTCCTTTCCCTCACCTCATCTACTGTTCACTTTCTTCGCTGAATGACTTGGGGATGAGAAACACGTTTGTTATTCTACATAGGTTAGAGTGCAACGAAGTATCTGCTGTCTCCTACTATGTTCAAAATATTCTTAACCACATCCCATCACTGTCCAACACCTTCAATTTGATATCTAGGTTTCCAAAGCAAAAGGAACTTGACTCGGGCAGATGAAGTAAGCATCTTTTCAACCTAAGTTCCACAACAACTCAGCATTTATTTGGCCACTTTGTACTTTATGCAAGTTCAAGTTTCATAAGATCTCCACTGTAACAAGATGAAACTGAAATAACAGATTTCTAATCATTAACAACCAAAAATACTGCTTTTATCTTGTGGCATAACAAATACTGAGACCTGTTGTTTGTAGCTTGGCTAATCTCTACATAAGAGAAACAGCAATACCACAGATAGGTTGTCCAGTTTGCTCTTAGATTTCTCAGCAGGCTTCTAAAGACTAAGCAACTGAAACTTTTACTGCATTGTTGCTTTTTTTCCTCTGTTCTTTAGACTGCAGTAGTAACAGAACTAGAGAAACTTCTTGTGTAAAACTGCATCTTCTGGAATTCATAACAACTGTCACACCACAGGCAGGGCATACAGTCTTGCTCAAATGGCTTGTCAAACACTTAAGAAAAATATCTTTTTGTTTACCAATGTTGTGACCCTTACAGTTTCTAAGCTGTATACTAGTCCTATAATATTTGGAAACTTCAGCACACTAATCAAGATTCTTTTAAAGACAGACAACTGATTGGTGTATTTCTATAAGCACCAAATACTGTATAGATACATATATAAAAGCATGTCATGGTTTAACCCCAGCTAGCAACTGAACACTAGACAGCCACTCACTCACCCCTCCCTTTTCCCCTCAGCCGGGTAGAGAAGAGAAATGGACAAAACAGAAAACTTGGGGGTTGTGATAAAAACAGTTTAATAGGAGTAACAAAATACTACTAATACACAAAATAAAACTGAATTCCTCACCAATTCCTCTGCCCATGTTGAGCAGCCAGTCCCGGGAAGAGAGCACTCTGGTCCAGAACAGCTGATCCCATGCAGAAAGCAGCGAGACAAGAAAGGCAGGAAGGCTCAAAAGCCAACTGCGAAACGGCAGAATAGCAGACGGCCGAACTAATAAAACTAACCAAACTGAACTGAACGAGAACAGTCTTCCCAAAAAGGACTGTTCTGACGAGCCAGAAAAGCCAAATACAATTATATACAAATAATGACACATGGAATACTCTCATTGATCAACCTGGATGTCAGTCAAGGTCTCTACATCTACACACCCCCACCCCCACCCACTTGTAAGTTCTTATATTCCTTCTCATACTAAACTCCAAAAACAACCATGCTAGTTATGAGAAAGTTTCTAACTGCATGAAGACAGTTAACTATTTCATTCAAAACACCACATTACCATAGCAGTATTTTAAATCGTGAAGTTATAAAGCCCATATAAAGTACAAGACTTACGAGAAACACCATGATAGAGCTAGCTTCCATTCTTGGTCAGTGGTACAACCAACAGCACCTACATGTATACATATGTCCTGGTTTCAGCTGGGATAGAGTTAATTTTCCTCTCAGTAGCTGCTGTATTTTGGATTTAGTATGAGAATGTTGATATAATGTTGACTTGATTTAGTATGAGAAGAATGTTGATAACACTGATGTTTTCAGTTGCTGCTATGAAATCAAAGACTTTTTCCAGTTTCTCATTCAGCTAATGCGCAGGTGTGCAGGAGTGGGGAGAGCACAGCCAGACAAATAGCCCAAGATGGACAATGGAAATATTCCATACCACAGATGCCATGCTTAGTTTATGAGTGGGTTTGGTTCTGGGGGCAGGAAGCTATCTGCTCTTCTCATTTCAATAAGTTCAAATCCTCTCTTGTCCAGGAGTTCAAGCTTTTTCAGGAATTTTCTGAAATTCTTGATTTTGGTGTTCCACGATCGCTGCTCAGGGACTGGCTGTGAATTGGTTGTCAGGTGGTGAGAAAACTTCTATTGTATGTAGTTCGTGTTGCATATTCATTATAATCATTATTAGCAGTAGTATGATTAGTAGTATTTACTTTGTTGTTTTATAAACTGTTTATCTCAACCCACAAGCTTCCCCTTCTGTCCATTTCTACTCCTCACCCCGCTGAGGAAGAAATGGAGGGGTGAGCAAGCAGCTGCCTAGTGCTTACCAGGTTAAACCATGACAACATGCAACATAATGGACACACCAGAATGAACACACCAGAATCTGATGTTAACAAGCTTTATATCCCAAAGCAAGATAGACTGTCATACTACGTATGTAGAATTACAATAGGAATAGAACACTGAGGAAAAGGACAGCAGCTACAGCAACAGGAAGACAGAAAGCAACAGAACAAATAGCTGACTGCTAAAAAGAATTTACAAGCTCTAAAGGATTCTCCCAATTAGAAACTGATAATTCCCAGCAGCTATTCCACTCTGATTCTTCTCATGTGCCTTAAACAAAATGGTAATTAACAAGATGCAGCATTTTATGCTACTTTGTTGAACTGTACATACCTGAAAAAGTGGTCTTTCCACCCTAAAAAGTAAGCTCATGCACATAAATGATTTTTTTTTCCTCTTCTTAACCAGTGTACAGTGCCAGATATGACTTCAATAAAGAACAAAGTATACATTAGACGTTGAGTCAAAAGTTTTCTTTAATCACCAGCAGAGACAGCATGTCTCTGGCATCCAGGACGTTGAAATGAAAGAAGTAGAATTAAAAAGTAAAAAAAAAAAAACTGCAAAACAATTTCACAAATACTTCCCACTTCCAGCTTCAATGACAACTGAACAGTAATTTAAATAATGCTTATGGTTTGCTTATAACATTTTGTTTTCAACTGTGTGGATTAGACTCAATTCAGCCTAAAAAAAGACTTTTTATTATTAAGGACAGAACTACTACAGCTGATTTCCTAAAGTTTTTAATAGAAAAATTACTGATTATAAATGAAGAAAAATTACTAACTTCTGTAACTTCTAACTTCCTGCACCTGGGTCAGGGCAACCCCCAGTATCAATACAGACTGGGGATGAAGGGAGATTCCGAGAAGGACGTGGGTGTACTGGTCAATGAAAAGCTGGATATGAGCCACCAATGTGCACTCACAGCACAGAAGGCCAACTGTATCCTGGCCTGCATCAAAAGCAGCATGGCCAGCAGGTCGAGGGAGGGGATTCTGCCCCTCTGCTCTGCTCAGACCCCACCTGGAGTCCTGCGTCCAGCTCTGGAGCCCTCAGCACAAGAAAGACATGGAGCTGCTGGAGCAGGTCCAGAGGAGGGCCACAAAAATGTCCAGAGGGCTCGAACACCTCTCCTACGAGGAAAGGCTGAGAGAGTTGGGGCTGTTCAGCCTGAAGAACAGAAGGCTCTGGGGAGACCTTATTGCAGCCTTTCAGTACCTGAAGGGGGCCTACAGGAAAGAATGGGAAAACCTTTTTAGCAAGGCCTGATGTGATAGGACAAGGGGTAATGGTTTTAAACTAAGGGAGGGTAGATCTAGACTGGATATAAGGAAGAAATTTTTTACAGTGAGGGTGGTGAAACACTGGAACAGGTTGCCCAGAGAAATAGTGGAGGCCCCATCCCTGGAAACATTCAAGGTCAGGTTGGACAGGGCTCTGAGCAGCCTGCTCTAGTTGAAGATGTCCCTGCTCAATGCAGGGGGGTTGGGCTAGATGACCTCTAAATGTCCCTTCCAACCTAAAGCATTCTATGATAATGCTTAAGAAAACTGCTCTTCTCTGTACTAATGCCAGCACTTACCAATTCAAATTCTTGTGTTACACTTATACTTCTGTCTAATCTCACATTTATAAGCCTGCCCAAAAGACTAACCTCAGGTCTTCAAAAACATTCAAAATCAGTGACTTCACCAGAGCCTTCCTAATAATTCTTATGCTTCACTTACATAGTTAAAAAGAAGAGAAAAGAAAGGCTAAATAACCAATGTCATCATTGTCAGCAGCAATAAAAAGACTCCTTTATATAAGGGTATATACAATGAAATGACAAAATGGAAGTAATTAACAAGCAAGAATTAAAGCACATATCAGCCTATGTACTTACCAGACCCATGAGACTGAAATTTTTTGAAACTGATTTACAACTCGGGAACTGACCAAATAGCCACCCATACATTGATTTGGTACAAATTTAATACAAAGAATAACATCAAAAAATCTGTAAGCTTACCCTAATTATCTTTCAGTTCTTTATATCTTCTAATAAGGTTTAAGTTGTAAACATTTACTCTGAAATATTAAGCAAATTATTAGCTTTTCTTCTCTTCTCCCTCCAAGACACAAGCGTAAGAAATTAAAAAAAAAAGGTGCTCAACAAGACAAAAATAAAACAGAAATTCTATTACCTTGGATTTAAGATTTCACCAACAATTTCTTGCAGTTTGTCAACAAAATTTACAAAGTCCGAAAGCCCCTTTACATGGATTCTTAAAGGATCGAATAAGGAAGATGCACAGCCTCTTCCTCCAAGTTCTACAGTTCGGATAAAAGATGTTGCCATCTATTAGGAGAAATATTCAGAAATATGAAACTAGACATACACAAAATGTACGCATCTTGAAGTGAGCCTCTCCTACAGATTTGCAAACAGCATATAACACCTAGCTGATAGCAAAAATAATCTAGCTGAAATCAATAGCATACCTCTTAATGGCAAGCTTTGTACCATAAATATTTGCAACATCAATACTGGAATAGTGCAGCAGTATAAAAAACCAAAACACGAGCCAAAGTGAAAATGACCCAGCTAATTTGATATTTACGTTGGCCTTTTGACAGCTGAGAAAACACTTTATTACCCCAGGGTATAGAATTTTTCTGTTGTTACTGCTGTTTAAGTGTTTATGCTGACCTCACAAAAACTACTCTTGTATTCAGAGGGCTGTCTAGGACCCAAGAACAATTTTAATGTAAGCACGTAAGAGTTGATTTCAATAATATCTTTATTTTCAGAGGTGTAAAATAAAAATAATGTATAATCAAAGCTTTTGAAAAATCGTAACAGTGAAGGCTTTTACCATCATAGGTACCCAATTCTGAAAGTTTCCATATATTTCTATATGCTATGAAGATACTGAAAACAAGGTATGTTCCAAAAGCAGTACACCTTAGAGGACAACCCCTCAAATTTTAAGGCAACAGTCAGAATAAAAACCCTTAGCAGTTCTTCCACATTTCTGGAGTAAAGATAACAATCCAATATGCTTGACACAGATGTAGTAATATTAATTCTACATATAAATTTTAATTTAATACTATACAGTTAAATCATAAAGCTTTTGGGACTGGAAAGAGTACAACTGGAATTACTCTAGCAAATAAAGTAAACCTGCCAGTATTTCTGCCTTTGTGCTAAAGATTTCCTGTGGATCAAGTACAGTTCATAGGACCTTGCCTTCCCAATGGAAAATATTCTGGCTTTGTAGAAATCCTGCGAGACATAGATGCCAGAAAAGAAGAGGTCTTTACACGATAGAGAAGTTTCCCCTCTGGCAACTGTGAGGAAGAGGTAATAAATCCAGTCCAAACACATACTTTTTTTTTTAATACAATGTTAACAGAGCATTAGGACCAAAGTAATTAATCCTGGAACCGAGATTTCACAAATTTTCCATATTTATTCAACCATAAAAATCTCAGAATGCAGCTGCTTCAGTGACTGTTACATACCCATACTGTTTTTCCTCTGGTCTGCTGTTGTCTGCAAAATTTGATTATTTTGAATATGAGGGACTACAGCAGTTCTCTGGAGAAAGAATTCTTGCTCATCTTATTCCAACTATTTTTCGAGATGGCTCTGTACTGACTGTAACTACTGTAAGTATAAAAGCACCTCAGATAGCAAACTAGATTCTTTAGCAACAAGCCTCTGAGCACTGTACATTGATACTGTAGCTTTTTCTACTCGTACACAGGGGCATAGAGGAAAGTATATACCACTGTCTTGAGGCTTTTTTTCAACTCTGTGCCTTTGTGAATAAAATGAGCAGCAATGTCCCATATCAATCACTTCTTGGAGAGTATTTCAAGACTGATCAAGCTGCATATGACTAGAAACCATGACCCTCTGCAAATTCTAAGTCAAAGCTGAAAAAAATGCAACACTGCTCTTTCAAATTTTGGTCTCTGTTCTAATGTATATGTCAAAGGCAGGACATTGTCACCAGGTTGCTTTAAGAAAAGGATTTTGTACATAGAAATACTTTCGGTTCCAGATATCTGAAGTTTAACAGATGCACATAAAAATGCTGTTCTACTATTTAACCAAAATACTTAAGGCACATTAAAACTGAAATGCATTGTAATGAATTGTTAGTGGCGTGGTTTTGTTACTGTTAATACTGCTCTGTGATATTTATTTAATCCAACCTCATTGCTTTTAGAGGTATTTGGTAAGCAGTAACACCTAGTCTAATGCCAGCTTTTCTTCCTTTGTCTTTTTTCTTTGATATGTATACTCATGACCTCACTTCACAGTATCTGCCAAGATTTCAGAATTTTAAAAGTAATAATAAAAAGCCTATCTTAGATTCATGTTCAAGACAGTAAACTTTTTCGGGATTCCAGCCACTGTTTGCGATGAACAGTCTCGATGCCCATTTTTACAATATCACACTTCAGAGCTCTAGAGGTACACCCACACAAGTAATTTTCCTCAGTACCAAGCAAGTATCCATTTCTTCACATAGAATCTGTTGTGTCTTCTTAACCTAGAAATCATGTTTATGTGGTATTTGACTTGGATTGCAAATGTCAGTCTTGCATACAAGATTAAAGCAATATTTTATGTTTATAAGTCTATTTCATAGCCTCTCATCTACAGCGAGTTTCATTTGACACACATACCAGGAATGTGGACATTTTTCTCTTCTGTGAGGCATGTTTTAGGTTAGTGAAGGCTTCTCTACCAAGTCCTCTGTCAGGAACATTTAGAATATGAGCCAATGCCAGATCATCCTTAGAATTCACCAACAGGCTTAAGTAGGAACAAACACACTTCTTTGCCAGGATTTTCACCTGTGTAAGAAAGCATCAAACTGGTCATCCTGCTGCTAAATTATGTTCCTTTTTTTAAAGCTAATTAGATATGTACTGATATGATTTTTGAAAGAGTAAGAATTTCACCTTCCATGACTTCAAAATGCTACTTTTTGTATGGGAATTCTGGAAGCACTGACAAAAGCAAACATTATTAATATGTTTACATATACTGTACTTCAATATTCACAAAATATTTGAGGGCTGGATCTCTAGCTATTAAAATTGTCTATCAGTTTTTACTTGGCAACTTGTTCACAGATATTCCTTTTCTATCCCAAGGAAAAATACTAGCACTGTTAAACCACAGAAGGATTTGTCATCAACTTCAGATAAGCTAAGATTTTAAACAACTCGCCAGCTCCACACCAGATTCAGTAATCCTTTGGGTCTCAGGGGATTTCAATCACAGAAAATCCACTGATTGAGTTTGGACATAAATTGTGACCCAGCTCCAGCCATATAACCAAAATTTAACATTGTAATTGATTATATTGCAGCACTGTTCTGGACCCTGCAAGAACAACAGATTCAGAACTGGAAAATTTACAGTTTTGTCACAAACAAAGAAAACAGACCAAAAAAGGCCATTAACAAATGAAAGATAATGAGAAAACCTACATTTGCTGTGGAACTTCTTCTTAATCAACAGGATATATACAACAAAAATGTAGGCAGTGAAAAAAACCCACACACATGCGTGACGTTCTGAAAAGACAGATTTAAGAGAAAGAGCAAGGAATATTTTTACTATGTAAGTCAGAGCAGCAAGAACGCCATTATGTTAGTGGTAGAAGTACTATCCAGAGGAGAATAATAGTCCAGAAAATATTTTCTTTTTTAGAAACATTGAGTTGTACCCAAATATTGAACTGAAATTGCCACTTACCATGAGAAAAGCCAGTCTGGAAATGACCCAGGCTCCAGCACTTCAGGCATGGTTATATAGTATTCCGAGATTCATGTTTTGGGGGTTTAAAGGGTAAAAGAAAAAAATCCAATATTCCCAGAAAGTCTTTAAGTCCTCTACTGAGGCCAGCAAACTTTGTTTGCTTTGCTACAGCTACCACTACAGTGGCTATACAGATTTCTTCTGTATGTAAAGGAGTACAAGCTAATAAAACAAATTTAAAGAGGTTTACTTCACCTATCACTTCACTTTGCAGCATGGGGCAAACCATTTAACTCTCAGGCAAGACAATGTTTGAGTGATGGTGTACTTGTAGAAAAATTGATTCCCTGGTGTTTCAAGCCAGACGAAGCCTACATCAAGTGTCTGCCATAAGAGGACTGTCTTCCAGAGTATAGGTTTCTGTCCTTCACCCCATACACACACAATATACTCGAGTGATACAGAGTTCAAATATACATGTTCTGGTTTTTTAAACCAGCAACATGCTAATACCAATAATTGGAAAAAGAAACTATGTTATCTTTTTAATATATACAGAACATTATGAAACAGACAGAAAAAATTTTTACCTTCACATTCTCCTGGCCCTGCCTCTTGACTGGGGTAGAAGGAGTAGAAAGAACAGAACCATTATTTGCTTGTACATTCATTATGTCAGAAAAAAATTCCAATAGTTGAACCTTTAACAAAAAGATTAGAATAAACTTAAACACAAAGATGACTAGAAATCAAAAAGTAGTATTAAAACCTGCTGAAACTATGTCCGCCAGTTTGCTAGCATTCTTAGAACAGCACTTACAACTCAATTTTGGTTTTAGTCTTTAAAAGTAGAACTGTTTTATTAGAGAAATGAGGTGTAAGATTCGAATTAACTTAGAAAATATATCATGAACAGCTATGTAATACACTTGCACTACAAGCAGCTACTTCCATTTGAAGAACATTTAATATGTTATACCGTGTTTAAGAAGAGCTCATTAACCCACCCAAGTTCTCTATATCCCAATGAAAATAGGAAGGAAAAAGAATTTTTTTTTTTTAAAAACAGTTTCCATGCTCTTTCTGAACTTCAGTTCTCCTTATAATATCTTTTGTGCCTAATAATTACATGAGTGTTTAAGTGCAGGTTCTCCAAATCTTTAAGGAAGTAGGCAAGCTGGTTACAAGCATACATGCTTGTCATAGAATCATATCATAATTTAGGTTAAAAGGGACCTATAGAGATCTAGTACAAACCCATGCTTGAAGCAGGACCAGTTTGCCCAGGTTGCTCAGTGACATGCTGAGCCAAGTTTTTAATATCTGCAAAGATGAGATTCCATATCTTTTCTGGGCAACCTGTTCAATATTTGACCACTTTATGTAGAGAGTTTTTTGTTCTTACTAGAGCTGGAAGGTAAACAGTTTTAATCATGCTGTAACTCATAATTCATGGTATGTTCATAATATATCTCAGCTCAATTAACATTCAGTTACTGATAGATCTTCCCGTATATTAAAATGACATCTAATTAAACATACATCATATTCAGAAGGTGAAATAAACAGTAACTTGTTTAAGTCTGCAGTGCTGAGACAGGGGGCAGTAAAAGCAGACAACTAACTCCTCTCTAATTTTCATTAGAAGCATGCACATCTAAATCCAACATTCATTAATTTTTTTTGTTATTAATATCCTTTGTCTTCTGACCTTTCCATGCTCTGAAAAGCACAGAATCAAATCAAATCGAGTGGAATCCTTGTGTTTAAAATCTTAATTGCTACTTACACATATTTTTACCCAATAGCATAGAGATCAAATTCATTTTTCATACACTTTCACAGTCTAAGAGTGGGTAACACACTAGAACTTCTCTAGCCTAGAACATGGCCTCAGATGCAGTGCCATAGTAACATCTGAGCTGCAATAGTCAGCAGCTCTGATGTAGTTTGAGTGGCTAAATTGGAACCTCTCCTGGTTTCTGCAAAAATGTAATATGGGACTACATATATGCTTTTAAGAGAGTGGTATTTTTAAAATAACCATTAAAAATATTTTGACTGCATATCAACATACAACCAAAACTCCATGACACATGTTAATCACTAAACTTTGCTCCAGTGCTATCAAATCTCTACAGTTCATTTTCCAGTTCCACTTCTGGCAAAGAGTGATATACACATAGAAGAGCTGTGGGGCCCACTCAGCCAGCAGGACTACAGAAAAAATAATTTTTAAGTGAATTTAAAAGTAATTTAAACTCCTTTGCTTCCCCAGCTGAAGATCAAAGTAACTTGTGAATACTTCAGAGCTCCTGTGTATATTTAGAAGTGTCATAAATCCACAACTGGAATCAAAAATATGTCAAACATTTTCAGAGATCCAACAAACAAAATACTTACAGGGGCTATGCTTTCATCTTCAGATACTAGTCCAAGATCATAGCACTTCTGATATATGTCTATTAGATCTAACATATTGCTTCTTGCTAAGAAGGCATGATAGGCTTTTTTTATGTCCAGATAATTTTCAGGTTCTTTCATGTTTTCATATGATAATCCCAGTTTGTCATGTAACAAATATTTCCAAGTTTCCAACACATCACTAAGCGACACTGTGAAATCTCCATAGTGCTAATAGAACAGAAAAACACAAAAATATTATGTTTTGTATGTAGCATAGCTTTAAAAATAACTTTAAAACAAGCTGCATATATCTCTACATGGGAGAACAGGAAAGACTAAGAATAAGAGAGACTGTATGTAGTCCAATAATGCTACATGTAATCTCATTTACAGAATCATAGAATGTTTAAGGTTGGAAGGGACCTTTAGAGCAGAAGTAACTAAAGAACCAAAATTGCTAGCAAACCTGGCATTGTTGGAGGTTACAAGTACGGCAGCAGGGCACAAATGGCAAACAAAATGGTGAAAGTGTCAGACAGGAACAGTGAAGCCAGAATTCACAGAAATTTAAAAACAAGATGAGTAAGTGACAAAGCCCTGTTGTTTGAGTCACAAACCAAGTGATGTGTTACTGATGGAAGTAGGATGCAAGCCAGCAACCATCCAGTTGTATCAGTAAGAAGCTAGATGACAGTAGTTATTGCTGCATTCTAAGAAAGAAATAATTTGTTTCACTCCTGGCATTATGTTTTTTTGCTTTCAATAAAATACTGTTTTTTAAAACCAAGTGATTCACAGTTGTGAGCAGGGGGAGGAAATCAGCTCAGTGAGCATCAGATATTTTAATTAAACTTTCCAGTTCAGTGTGAGGGTACAAGGAACTGCAAGAAGTCTGAGCCTGTCTCTTATGGTTGCCAGTAAAGGAGATGAGTGTATTGTCAATGGTTAAAGACTACAATAGGAAGCCAGAAAATCAGTTTCAATCCCTGTAAACCACACTATGCACAAGAAGAAAGAATTGCATTAAGGTGCTGCTTACATAAGGGAAAGCAGATAGGAGAGAATTCTGCTACTAATCAGATTGAGCTAAAGGTAACAGACAAAACACAGGCTTTGGGCTGCAGGATTACATATATTTCTGGCCTCTACCTCAGAATTTGGTCCTTTATTCACTAGTTACTTGTTCACCTGTTTTTCATGTCTTGACCACTGACCCTGGACTTTCATTCCTTTGCTGTTCTCTGCCTTTCCAAAATTCTAACTAGAAGTTGCTAATCTCCCTACACACCCATAACTCATTATATTATATATCCAATCTCCATCACAATTTCTGTTTTCTCATAGCCATGTTTATTGCAGACCTTTCATACTATCCTACTCTACACCCTTCCGATGCCAACTTTGCCACCACCATTTCTTTTCCCCTGAAATCTGTGACTTCCTCACTACTTGCTCTCATCCGGTCCTCTTTAACAACTAGACTCCTCATTTTCATCCACACCCCGCTCTTTGATCTACGTACCAGTCCCCACTTCATGCAGTTTAACTTTTTCAGATGAGGTCCTTCTATTTGAATTAGACCTCAGAATACACACAAATAGTAATGTTGCAACTGTAGCGAATTTTACAGTTTTCACCAAAGAAACAGAGTTCATACTACTGGTATCTAAAGCATTCCCAGCATACTGCAGCAACAAACCCCAATATTATATGGTCATGTAATTCATTATGTAACATGATATAAGTGCCCCACGACTGAATGACAAACCTTGCTTTGTTATGTCAATAAAGGCAGATAACGCCTGTCTAGTGCAAAGGTTTTATTAAATTTCATGACATTTTCATGAAAGCAACTGTAATCTAAATAAAACAATTACCTACAAAATCTTAGAGAAATGTCAGTATACCTTGCATGGGTAATTGTTTGGGACTAAACACCTTCTTTTCTAGTGGGTGGAGGGGTGTTGTTAGAGATTGATTATAGAATAGAATAAAATCATAGAACTAGAACGTAGATTCAGCTGTGTAAACAGCTGTGTTAAGAAACCATACAACATGTATGTGTGCAATTGGGATAGAAATTAATTGTATGGATTGTATCAAACAGAATTCACAAAAGAAGTCGAGACGACCCTGAAACCAAGCAAGCCCTGAAACCAGCGAGCGAGAATTCTATGAAGACAGAAGAATAGAAAGCACTTAATAAATGATGTACTTAAAGGAACGGAATGGTTGCTTAGAAACTTATGAAGATTCTAGACTTGGTGTAATCGGTTTAATTAATGTATATAAACTGGTCTAGCGAGTTAAGCTTTGCCACTCACTGAGGTGATGGCCCAACTCTGAGTTGTGAATAAAACAATACCTAGTGTAACCCACTCGTGGGAGGATAAAATCTTTAACAGAATTTGGTGACCCAGATGGGGCACTAGGACACAGTAGATGTATACTCTAGATCTTTTCTGTGAACACCCAAGACCAACGCTTGAAGTGCCAGCACAAAACAAGAGGACTAGGTGAGTCGAGAGCTTTTGGTCTCGAGTGTGTTCAGACTGATTGTTGAGATATTCTCTTGTGTTTAAATTTTGCTTGAAGTATTTGATATGGGAACTACACCCAGCATTGAAAGGGGGACGCCCCTTGCTGAGATTTTAGAGAATTGGAGTAGGATACCTTTGTCTCAGACTTTGAAGAAAAAGAAATTTATATTATGTCAGGAGGAATGGCCATTTCTCACTAGAACTAGAGGAGGGGGACCTATGGATGTGTAGCCCCCTAAGGGAACTTTTAAGATACATAAGTTAAAATTTTTCCGAATAATTCTAGAAGATGCAGGAACTCAAGACATTGATTATTGGTATTTTTGGTATAATTGGGCCCAACAAAGAAGGAAACCTGCAGGTAATCATAATAACGGAGGTCGATTATCACCCTCTGCTCCCTTTGCTCCCTCTGCTCTGGAGGCAGACGATGATAAATCTACCTCAAAAGGGATTGGAATGTATCTCATGAAATTGGATTACATTCCAAACCCTAGGGCTAGACCAGGAGCCCCACCAGAGGTCCCTACAATCCAAGCCATGGTAAGACATGAACCTTGGAAACAAGGAGATTTAGTAGCTTGGCAAGCAAAAATGCCGAGACTACGAGATGATGCAGAAAAATGTGCTCAATTATTATCTGTCATCACAACTGATTATTTTCCTAATTGGAATGATGTAAGAACTCTCCTTCAAGAATTACTCCAATCAGACAAAAGAGAAAATTTTACAAAAAGATAGGGAAATTGCTCAGAGGGGAAATGGACTTAATCCACAGCCTGAGCAAAATCCAGGCTGCGATGTAACTACTACAGAAGGTCTTCAAACATATCAAACTGCTGTTCAACAATTAGTTGAAGCAGTTTGTCTAACTGGAGAACGAGTCACAAATTGGACCAAAGTAATTCAATGTAGGCAAAAGCCTGATGAACATCCCAGTGATTATTGGGGAAGACTAAAAGCTACACTTCTAAAATATGGGGGAATGACTCGTGAAAATTTTCAGGAACCATTGGCCATAAGTGTGTTTGTGGACCAATTTGCTCCTGATAATAATAAATATTTCTGAAAAACACATGCCAGGCTGGCAAGGTGAAACTTTGACTAAAATCCTGAGCATAACAACTTTTGTTTTTGATGGAAGGAACGAAGAACAACAGAAGCAAGAAGAGGTGAAACTGAAGGCAGAAAGGAAGAGAGAACGTAAAGAAAAAGAAAGATAAATCGGCCTGCTCACTGCAGCAATTGTTCAGAATTATAACTAAAGAGGAAGAGGCTGGGGATTTCCCTGAAGAGGAATCGGAGGAAGAGGCCAAAGAGGAAGAGGTCTTCCTCCCCCTGTTTCCCCATATTTTAACACTCCTGAATGTTTTTATTGTGGTAATTTAGGTCATATACAGCTTGCATGCCCCTTGAGACCAGTGACTTCGGCAGTCGAAGTTAGAAACTACAAAGAACGACCTCCCAGACCTCACTCACAGTAACTGACGGAAGCGGTTTGAGTTAAGGTAGATCATAACCGTCACGTCACAGCAAAGGTAAATGGTACTTTTGTCAATTTTCTAGTAGATACAGGAGTAACTATAACATTATTAAGCTTTTCTGTTCCGCAATTATCAGGAGAAAAAATAAAGGTAGATAGAGCGGTGGGAGGTAAGAAATTGCCCCTTTCACTTCCCCTTCCAGTAGTATTGGGAGGAAAAATAGCTCGGGGAAAGTTTGTTGTCTCCCCCGAAACACCTGTGTCTTTGCTGGGACAGCATTTGTTGCAAGAATTTGGCACTTGTATCTCTTCAACTCCAATTGGTATACAATTAATAGTAATTGGCATGTCTTTAATCAAAATACTAGAAAATAAAAAGGAGGGAAAAAAGATACCTGAGGAACTCTCTGATACTCCTCATGAATTATGGAGCACTTCTGGAGATGAAGTAGGGCTGTTAAAATCAGCTGAACCTGTGGTAATCCAAACAAAAGGAGGGACACCTCCTTCTATTCAACAATACCCAATAGTTTCAGAAGCAATTTCTAGTATTGGTAAACAAATTGATAAATTCTTAAAAGAGAGAATTCTAAAAGAATGTAGGAGCCCTTATAATACCCCAATTTTACCTGTAAGTAAAAACAGGTTGGACAATGACAGAGACCCTGAATATAGGTTTGTTCAAGATTTACGAGCAGTTAATGAGCATGTCATTGCACCCCATCCAGTTATTCCAGACCCGACTTTAATATTAAACTCAAATACCTCCCTGGGGCCAGTATTATACTGTGCTTGATTTAACAGGAGCCTTTTTTAGTATACCAATAGCAGAATAAAGTCAACATATTTTTGCCTTTACCTGGCAAGGGAAACAGTTAACCTGGACACGATTGCCTCAAGGTTTTACTAGTTCACCCACTATTTTCTCTCAGATTTTGAGAAATGACTTACAAGATTTAAATTTTCCCCGTTTGTCTGTTTTGATACAATATGTGGATGATCTTTTACTTGTGA